AGAACATGTGGCTGGTGGCAACAGGGCTGAGTTAGAGCCGCCCCTGGACCCATAAATAGGAGCTATTTCTATTTACTAGACAAGTCTTCATAGCAAAAAGATAACTGAAGGCCACCGCAAGGATTCTGTGTCACTGCGAAGATTTGAACGTGAAATGTCCCTCACAGGCTCTTGCGTTTGAACACTTGGTCACCAGATGGTGGCACTGTTTTGAGCCTCCCTGTGTCATGGGACCTGACTGGCTAACACAGGCAGGCTTAAGGGCCAAAGGGCAGCACAAAGGCTCTGCCCACTTTGTGCTGAAGTCTCTCTGCTTCCTGACCCAAACCATTTAATAAGCAGCTCCCTCTGGCTCCCGCTGTCATGGCACAGCTCGGTGCCATGCCTTCTCTACCATATGGACTGGGCTCCCTCCAGCCCCACATCATAGTAGACCCCTGTCAAGTAGGTAACACACAGTGAGTGATACATCTGTCACGTTTTGCATTTTCCCAAAGAAGAGTTGGAATTTATATCCGAAAAATGCCTGACCCTGCTGCCTTCCCATCACACGATTTTTCACGACTGCAGGTGCTTGCAAATTCTCCCAGCCTGGGTGCTGGTCTAGCTCTTTGGAGAAATGACTAGCTACCCAAAACTGCACAAAAACACGCAGAGGACACAAATAAGAATATGAAAATAGAGTCAGTCAGTAATGGTGCGCATCTTTAATTCCAGCACTTGGGAGGCATAGGTAGGCGACTTTCTGTGAGTTCGAGGCCAGCTTGATTTACAGAGTGAGTTCCAGGACAGCCAAGGCTACATAGAGAAGCCCTGTCTCAAAAAGAAAAAAAAAAAAGATGTGTGGGACTATAGAGATAGCTGAGTGGTTAAAAGTAACTGCTCAGGACTAGGGAAATGACTCAGTGATTAAGAGCACTGACTGCTCTTCCAGAGGACCAGGGTTCAATTCCCAGCACCCACATGGCAACTCACAATTGTCTGTAACTCCAGTTCCAGGGGAATCTGATACTTTCAAATCAATGCACATAAAATAGTTTTGTTTAAAAAAAAAAAAAAGTAACTGCTCTTCCAGAGGACCCAGGTTCGATTCCCGCACCCACATGGTGGCTGACAAAATATCTGGAATTCCGGTTCTGGGGACCCAGCACCCTTTTCTGACCTTTCAGATACTGCCCTACATTGTGCACAGACATACATGCAGGCAAAAACACTCATGCACACAAAATAAAAATAAATCACACACACACACACACAAAATAGGTGTCTATTTCTGGGGCAATCAAGGCAAGGGCAAGGAGTCGTTTAGCAGGGCACAGCTCCAAGACTGGGGCTAAGTCTTTGGAAATGGGGAACTAAATTCCTGGTAAGGGACCTCCCACTATGAATGCTAACTATCAGTTAAGGAGACACAGGATGGCAATGCTACCTTTCTTATTTGGAAACTGGGTAGATGCTGCAGTGTGATCGCAAGGCTTCTTGGAAGATCCAGTTGTTTTGTGACAGCTCTAAGGTCCTTGTGTCGTGCAGGGATGCTGTTTGCCTCTGCTGGACCAAGGACTCTAGCTGCCCATTGGTGATTTCGAGGACATATCAAAGATGACTCCCCCGCCATTTTGTTATCTCTCTTGGATTCATAAAGAGGGGAGCATGGCTGCACCTATATTCCCTCACTGCAGTTTTGAGTTCAATAAGGCAAAACATAGACGGGATGCTTGTAAGGGGGTGAAAAGTTGAAGAATCAAGCTCGTGCCTCCCCCTCCATGAACATTCACAAATTCAAGAGAGTTAAGTGGTCTTCCCCTGAGCTGGAGTGGAGGTGTGTCTGCGCTGTGAGGAGACTCCGAGAGAGATGGTGTGAATTAATGGCATCTGCAGAGGCCGGGGGAGAAGGGGCTGATATGATTAGATGTCAGTAGAGGAACGAGGGCAAAGGAGAAGTTTCTACATTTACTCGGAGGAAATCTGAAAGAAACTACTTTGCACCCATTTGGTGCCTGGTAAGGAAATGCGCCACCTTCGGGTTGGCAGACGTAGAACCCAAGGACAATCGAACCTGCTCCACCTTCCCTCCCAACAAATGGAAGCCTGACCGCGTGTCTTCTTACTTCTGAAAATGAAGGCAAGATGATGAGGTTACTCCCAAAAGACATCTGAGAGCAGTAAGAAGATAAGGCAATGGTGAGAAAGCAATATCTTCAGGAAAGACGGAAAAAAAGCCCTACAATAAGCAAAATGCACAAATACATACGTTCATATTACATATTCAGTTCTCCTGAAACCTGGTATTAGCCAGTTTACAGCACTGTTCTCTTTGTGTGTTTCCATGTGTACAGGTGCAACATTTTTAAAGTAACACATATTTCAGGTGACTCAAAAACTCCACCAGACTGTTTGACTGTGTGTAAGATGCCTAAAACAAGCATCACTGTCACATAAAACTCCGTGATATATAAGAATACATTTCCACCATCTTAAAAGAACGTAAAACATTCTACCACAACCTATGAAGACACCTAATATGAAAATATTTTGTCTCCACAGAAGCAAGAACATTGCCTCCTGGGAGCTGCAAAGATAACTTGGTGGTTAAAAACTCATAGTGCTCTCAAAGCGGACCAGAGTTCAGTTACCAGCATCCATGTCTAGCCACCCCAACGCCCTCTCCTGGCCTCTTTGGGAACTGCACTCATGTGTACAAATCTCCACACAGACGGTACACACAATTTTTCTTTTTAACAGAGTGCTTTCTTTGGTGCTTTTAACGTGCATTTCTGAGCACAGGCTCAGTTTTATCCGTGAGTACACTTTATAATGAGTTTTTAAAAGTAAGAGCTCTTGCAAAGCCCAGGGTCACTGGGTTGTGTGCTTGGAAGACGCCGGAATCTGTTATCCCTCACAGGTTTGCGAACACTTGTAAAACGGACTTACAGGGTATTCATCCCAAGAAGAGATAAGACAGTTATGAAACTGGGTAACCTTCCTGAAAGAGGGACTAAAGTTAGTGGGAGATGAGGGCGGGAAAAAGTGGACAGAGTGTCTACAGTACAAATCTGACCACTTGAGTTTGGATCACGAGAACCCACATAAAAAGCCATACTCCGTAACACAAGTGTCCGTGATACCAGCGCCCCTTACAGGGACTTGGGAGGCGGAAACAGAAGAAAACCTGGAATGGGCCAGCTAGCCCAGTGAATGCAACAGTGAGCAACAGGAGACCCTGTCTTGAACAAGGTGGAAATCAAAGGTCATTATCCGAGGTTGTCCTCTGAACTTCACACAAGCACTGTGGCACACTCACAGACATGCGCACACATGGACTCCTCACACGCGCGCACCCCACACCACAAAGACTAGATGAAGATCAGCAAGCTTGTGTACGCACTCCAAAGGGCGAGACTCGCATTCGGGCTGCTTGCACATGCTGCCGGTTCCCAAAGGACCCCAAAGGCATTGTGGGTAAGACCAAAAGGGCTTTCTGTGAAGTCAGCAGATCCTATGCATTGGTTAAGACAGAGAACACGCTGGGAGAATGCAACTGTTGCCTTGAGAGAAGCAGGAACCTAACAGGATCAGCTATATCCTGGGCCAATTCTGCCACACCAACTGTGTATGCTATGTCACCAGTCTGGGGCTCCATTTTTTTTTTCATCTATAAAATGAGGAAGACGAATGGCCCCAGAGAGTTCTTCCAATGATATATACATTTAAGTTTGCACTTTTATAAACACCAGAACTCAAAAAAAAAAAAAAAAGAAGTCCTTAAATGACCAAGTTATCATACACATCCAACAAACTCTTTCGACTTGCTCAGTCCCCTCTGCCAGGCAGCACCATCATCTCCTGCAGCTACAGCAGCAGACAGCATCCCCCCCCACAGCCGTCACTTTACCATGGATGAACAGTGATGCTGAGTGCACTGACCAAGGTCAAGAGCTAGGACAGGATCACACGTCCAGCCTCCTCCGTCCCTGTGGCTGTGCTATGCTTTTCACGGAGAAAGCAAGCTGACTTTCCTGGGAAGAATGCCAGAGGTTCCATCCTCCCCACTGAGAATATACTGGAATATTAGAATAACAACTTTGGAGACGGAGGTCTCTCCGAACCATTTCAGGACCTGGCTAGAAACATGAAAACCCAGAAAAAGGAGCAACAGGGAATTCTTCCCGTTTTTTAACGAAAGAGAAAAAATTAGGGATGGGAATTTGGGGTTTCTTTAAAAATTACATGATTGCTGGAAGTTAATCTGGCATTTCTTCGTTGGTTTGTAAGTTCTGTTTCCAATCACAAAAACAGACAGTTGAGGAGGCCTAAATCGCATTTCAGTGAATTAGCATCTTGTCCCAGAGAATCTATCTCCCTCTGAACACAGCGTAGAACCCGGGCTGGTCCTGTGTGGCAGGAAGAACTCTCAATGTTAAGAGCAAACTTGTCAGGAGCCCCTACACGGCTACCTGAGATGATAGGCTTCAAGTCCAGCAACGACCATCCAACATGGTTAATATATATATATAAAAAAAATGGCATTGAGCTTGGAATGTACTGGTTACTCTAGAGAAAGGATTTGGCCATATCCTGCCAGAGAGGGGCAGTGGCAGGCCCAAGGCCTCACCTTCTTTTGTCAACTCACACACCTTATGAGACTGAAGTCAGTGCGAATAAACTTGCCAGTGAGTCTGAGTCACCTGGAAAGGAGGTCCTAGCCCAAGCCTGTACCCTAGCCCCTGGGAGGCTAAGCAGGAAAAACATAAGTTTAAGCACAACCTGAGCTGCAAAAACAAGACCATGTCTCTAAACACCAAAGATTAATTTTTTTAAAAAAAAAAAAAAAGTAAATAAAAAAAAAATCCTGATTTCTAAATCCTGGCTGTAAGAGCTCCGTGCTTTGCAGAAAACACGAAAGCCAAGATGACAGCAAAGTCCCCCAGGATCGCTCCCCAGAGTTAAGACTCATGAAGGAAGGAAACGTAGAAACAGCAGAAATCACGTTGTTCCCCTACCTGTCGATGATGACAGGGTCTGATGGAGTCTCATTCCGATTCCCGCAGCTCTTCTTCTCGCAGCATCGACTGTAGGGGGGAGGGAATCAAAACGATGAAAGAAACTGCGTCAAAGTGCAAAGCTCAGTGAGCAACACGGCATGAGAACATTCCCAAACGGCCAAAGTAGCCTCCGGACTATAAACCACACACGAGCAAACTTCGGGACAATGCTCTATTTATTTAAAAAAAAAAAAAATACCTGAATCCAAAGCCTCCAAACTCATTCAAATTCTCTATCTTAGGAGCTGGAGGGTCTCAACTTTCCCAAGAGCCATATCTGTAACTTAACTACAGATGTTTGGATCTTAAGATCCACCGAGGTCACTTCCGGGCTGACACACGAAGATTTTATGAAAGTGTATTTTAAGTCTTTATAGCCCAATAAATATTTAAAGAAAGAAGGGGTGTAGGGATGTATTAAAATGTATAAAAGTGAATAAAGGGAAAAAAAAAGACGATCTGATTTCTAAATCCTGGCTAAAGACCAAAAGTAGCTGCCTGGGTTGTTGTGAACCTATTGACCTACCAGCTTTCTCTGGAAAACAGGGTGTCCTTTCTAAACGTTTATTCATCCACTCTTTGCTGTCATTTTCCAAAGATGAAGGAAGAAGATGAGAATTTACATATTTTAAATTGTATAAATTTTATACATTTTGTAAAAATGGATGCATTAAAAAAAAACAATGCTATGCATTTTTAAATCGGGAGGAAATGAAACACCAAGCTGGAGAAAAGTAACAAACAATTTTTGTCAGGACAGAAATAAGACTTGAATGCATCAAGTCCCGGTCTTAAAGTCTCTGCCTCCCAAGGTGCTCGCTCTGTTAAATACAGGAAGCCTGGTAGACAGACAGACAGACAGACAAATGACAGACTGAGAAATGTTGACGGGGTGAGGCCCCCAAAGCAATTACAACAATAAGAGAAGGCCCAAAATGACTTAAAAGAGCAAACATGTCGGTCCCAAAGTGTCTGTTCAAAGTCAACAGACAAGGGTGAGAAAACCAACAGGGTACATGTATCCCAACCAGTGTCCATCAGACAGCACACTTGAAGGCTCACTATCAAGTACGGTTGACTTAACTTGTAGTCTTGACACAGCTCATAAGAAAACCATGGCCATCCTACCGGCTGGAGATATCGAATACATGTTTTAATAACCATCTGCACGTGAGTGCTGCCCTGCTATGGCCGCTCTGCCGCTCAAACCTAGGACAAACCTAGCCCCTGAGAAATCGCTGGACCAGGAATAAGCGCCCCGATGCTACCCCATCACTAACTAACTACCAGCACTCAGCCGCTTATCTTGAACCCCTCTGAGTTTTGCTTCCCTTCTCCTGAAAGCGTTTGGGTTGGTTATCTTTAGAAGGGCTTCTAGGGTTAAGCAGATGAGGATGCAGCAATGAGAGTTCATGCAAATTATAACAGTACAGAGAGAAACAGGAAGGGAGCCCGTGTGCCAACAAGGGATCCCAAGACGTGCGCCAGCGCAGTCGGGGATCTGCTCAGCCGCCCTCTGCAGCCTCCACAGAATTAAACAGAAACAAACGATGGAGAGGGCAAAAAGAGGGCTCAGCAGTTAAAAGCACTGACTGCTCTTCTAGAAGACCCAGGTCCAATTCCCAGCACCACAGAGTGACTAGCTACATCTGGAACTCTGGATCCAGGAGAGTCGATGCCCTAGACAGCTGCCTAGGGCACCAGGCATGCATACCGTACACAGACATAAATACACGTAAAACACAGACAGAAAAAGGAGTTTTGAGTTGGTTTGGTTTTTCCAGATAGGATTTCTCCGTGTAGCCCTGGCTGTCCTGGAACTCACTCTGTAGACCAGGTTGATCTTGAACTAAGAGATCTGACTGCCTCTGCTTCCAGAGTGCTGGGAATAATGCTGGATTAGTGGATTTCTTGCCGCTACGTCTGGCAAGAAAGTTTTTAAAGATTTTATTTATTGTACTTTATGTGTATGAGTGTTTTGCCTGCATGCATGTACACCACATGCATTTCTAGTGCTTACAGAGGGTGGAAGAAGGTGTTGGACATGGGTGATGATGAGTTGTTATATGGATGCTAGGGACTGAACTTGGGTCTCTTCAAGAGCAGCAGGCATTCTTAACCGCTGAGCCATCTCTCCAGCCACCCTTTTCTTTTTAAATGAACATTTACAAACTTTTGCAATGTGTCTGTCTCTCTGACCAGAGATACACAGATTAATCAGTGGGCAACTGTACCACCCTCAGAGTGTAAAAGGCCCTTGGGAGACATTAATGCCTGCTCATCAAATGGGCACAATGCAGCTCTAAGACATGTATCAAATTAGTAAATATTAAAAATTGTCTCAACTCTCCTGAATGCCAGTCTTTGCCACGGGGACTCTCTGAAATAATATTTGACCTTTGAAATTATATTAGATCTTAACTTTTAAAATTTCAATTCATCCCAAGATTAACACCCATAAAAAAAAAAATTCCTGGCCAGCTGTACTTCCGCCTCCCAAAGCCCTTGTATTCCCCAAAACTCCCTACCCACTGTATCTCCCACTTCTCCCACCTCCAGAGTATTCTTTCTGTCGATGTGTTACCGTTAGCTGGTCAGTCAAAACAACTTTGTACAGCTCTACAGTTTCAAGAGGCCCCCATACACCAGCTACCTAAAAACCTCCAGAACCAAACGCTACTTCAACATCACCAGCTTGTCAGCCTTGCCCCCGCCCGAATACGCGCACAGCACTGGTGCAATTTAATTACAATCACATATGTCCTCAGAATGTGCCGATCTGTTTAGTTTGGGGAGGAATGATTCTGAGGAGGCCCATAAGTTTGCAAAATTGCTCAGCTGAATTCAGCTGCTTTCCACAGGGATTTCCTCTGTTGTAAAAGAGGGAAAAAATTATTAAAAAAAAAAAAGTTAGCTTTGTGCCAAAGTGGTACATGTGGGGGAGCAAGGGAGGGAAGGAAATGGCCTATAGAGAAAAAAATGCAGAGAAGCTGCTGGGCTGGTCCTTTATTTCTAATCGGAAGACCCTGCAATAGCGCCTCTTCATGTTAGTGCATTGCAGAGAAAAGACATAGGCATTCACTGGGCTACTGAACTTCAATAGTAAAAGTATAGACAGAATAAGAAGTGGTTGAATTGCCCCATTTGAATACTCCTTAAAGTTTCTCTGGGTCTCTCAGTTAAAACAAAAATTCCTTTTCCTGTGTGTGTGTGTGTGTGTGTGTGTGTGTGTGGTGTTTAAAGAAAGTTCTCGTCAATATGTTCTAGCTGTGTTTGATTCTGCTTGATTGTGTTAGTCAATCTTAGCGTTCCTGAGAATCAAGGGAAGCAATGAACCCAGGACACGTAGAACCACAGTCCACCAACACTGTGGGTAGCTGACACTCTGGAACGGGTCTCTGAATCACTCAGGTGACGTTGCCTGGTTTTCTTTCCTTTCTAGAGGAGGCCTGAATGACTGGCTTTAGGTTCGCCTATTTTGGTTCAAAGACTCTGGGGTTATACTCCAATGAGTAGACCTCTTAGTCTGAAGTACCTGAGAGGAGGTCTTTTTATATGTTTTGTTTTGAACTGACAATGAGTATAAAATATGAAAAGATAGATAGGTAGGTAGGTAGGTAAATAGATAGATAGATAGATAGATAGATAGATAGATAGATAGATAGATAG